CAGAGAGAGTTCGTGGTTGGACAGATGGCAGCAGAGCAAGCTCACAGACAGACAGCAGCTGTCTCACAGTGCAGGGTCCTACCAATGAGGCACTGTTTTTTCTCTAGTGGAACCGAAGGGCCAGAGATGTAGTCCCTTCTCTCTTAGCTTTTAGATCTTAGTCTCTTACTCAGTCCTCAAGCAAATAGTAATGAAATTTAGGCTTTTAGATATGCCATTTATTATACATCATGCACACACGTTATGCCATACATGTGAACAAATCTACTGTGCTGCCAGTCCTATAAAAAAGCACAGCACATGCAGCACAGTAATGGGCTGTACCATCTAGGGTTGTGTACGTGTGCTCTGAGGGGTTCCCACAGTGACCAGAAGATGCTATTTCTATGTCATTAAGTGGCACCTGACTGTAATTTCCCAGTGAGAGAAAAATGTAATGACTTCACCACTGTGTCAGAGATTTTGCTTTGCCTGTGGGGTTCTCGTCATTAGAAAAATGTCATGTAATGACAAGTGAGTTTGAAAAGCAGAAAACCTCTTGAGAAAGTCTGGCTTTCAGGCAGCTTTTGAAAATAAGACCGAAAATACAAGTATCCTCTTCCATGAGCAATGTCTAGAAGCTTTTTACAGACCATCAGGAACAAACCAATGACAGATGTTCTTACAAGGCACTTTTTTAGGTTAAAAATAAAAGAAGAGTAGTGATTTGTAATCTAAATCCGTGAGGTGGCTGGGAGCTTAACAGTGAGAGGCAGTGTGTTCCTCCACTGACAAGCCTGCAGGTTGGGGGAGGGGACAGATTGCAGGAGTCTAGCTCTTCTCTAGCTGGTAACTCTGTGTATATCACTAAGCCTCTCTTAAATAGGGACAATGATAGTGCCTATTTTGTTGGGTCACTGTGTTTTGGCACTAAAGTGTTCAATACACTGCTGGGTGTGGGGACAGAGTCATTTATAGGATTTTCTCATGCCCGTAGTGGTTTTCATCCAGATGCCCAGGTTCCTGGGCATTTAAAGGTTGTGCCCACCTTGGCCGGGTAGTTCAGTTGGTTAGAATGTCATCCTGACAAGCCAAGGTTGTGCGTTCGATCCCTGGTCAGGGCACAGACAAGAATCAACCAATAAATGTATAAGTAAGTGGAACAAAAAAATCAATGTTTGTTTCTCTCTCTCCCCCCTCCACCTCCCTCTCTTATTCTCTCTCTAAAAACAAAAAACCAATAAATTAAAAAAAAAAAATTAAAGGCTGTGACCTAGAGAAAAAGCCACAACAACTCCTCAAACAGCTGCATTTCTTTCTTTTATTTTCTTAGATACTGGCATTTTGCTTCAAGCTTTCTTGGTCAAAGGACTCTTTAAACTGTTTAAAACAATAGTTTGAAAATCACTGGTCTGACTTCCAGTTAAAGTAATGTAGAATCCTATCTGACCTAAAAAGCTGTCTTTCAACACCTAGGAAATTTAGATGAAATGTAAAAAAGCATTCTTTTAAATGTAGAGCAGCATGTGTAAGAGAGATAGTAAGGAAAATAATACCAGAAATAGAGAGACACTGAAAATGCAGCATAATGAGAGTGTGAACGCGTGTGAAGTGAGATGGGGGTGTATGATGGGAAAGGAAGGGGTAGGGGTAGGCAAACACTACGTCCCAATAATCCTGGGTTATCCTGGGTCCCAACATAGGATGAGAACATGAGATAACTGGAGGACGTGTATCCTTTTCAAGCACATGTGAAACAGCTACAATTGATCACATACTAAGCCACAAAATGAAAATCAGCAAACACTGAAGAGTTGATATATAGACTATGTCTCTTACCCCAATGGGTTTTAATTAGTAATAATAATAATGGAAACAAAAGCAAGAGCTAGCTTGCTCCTTTTTTGGTATGGTGTAAATTTAAAAATGCACTTGCAAATAACTTGTGTTTCAAAGAAGAAAGCATACTGAAAACTTAAAAATGTTTAGAATGGAATGAAAAGTAAACATCTACACTCATGGGAAGCAGCTAAAACAGTATTTTGAGAGAAATGTTATAGCTAAATGTTTGTATTAAAAAAGGAGGTGGAGGTGGAGGAAGACCAAGAAGAAGAAAGATGAAAATCAATGAGCTCAATATTCAGTTCAAGAGATTAGAAAAAAACTATAGTAAAATGTCCACTTCCGCCAAGATGGAGGTTTAAGGTGGATGTGCCGTGCCTCCTCACACAACCAAGTTTAGGGACAACTAAATATTAGCATCAGAAAACACAACCAGAACACGGAAAACTGAACTTTTCGGAAGTCCGTTAACAACAAATTCTTTGGCCTGACCGGTAAGGGGTGAAACCGGCGTCGGGTGAGGAGTTACAAAGGAGGGCTCGATCGACCCGGGCGCGGAATCCAGACGCGCGAATCCAGTCGCACGGGTTCCAAACCCAGGATTGGACCTAGTGAGCGACCGAGCGGCCCACCAAGTGAGCGACTACGGAGGAGTCAGTGGGGAGGCGGTGGCAGCGAGTTGACTGTGGTTGCCTGGTTGCACGCGGGTGAGGGAGTGAGCGCTTGGACCGGCGCCGGCGCCATTTCCCCGCTCTGACCACGCCCCCACATACAGCGTCACAACCCAGCGACCTGGGAATCCAAGGCGCCGCTCCTCCCACTTAAAGGGCCAGAACAGACCAAAAATGTCTCAGGGAGACCTCAAAGTCCCAGAGATAAATCTAAGTGACGAAGAAATAGCAAATCTCTCAGACGCACAGTTTAAAACACTGGTCATCAGCTTCCTCACAGATCTGGTGGACTATAGCCACAAATTAGAGAAACATATGAAGGCTAAATTAAGGGAAATGAATGGAATTCCACAGGAAAACCATAGAGATGAAAAAAAAACTGGGACTCAAATCAATGGAGTGGACCAGAAGGAAGAAGAAAAAAATCATCAAACAGAAAGGAATGAAGAAATAAGAATTCAGAAAAATGAGAAGCTTAGGAACCTCCAGGACATCTATAAACGCTCCAATATCCGAATTATAGGGGTACCAGAAGGGGGAAAGACACAACCACCAGTGGAAAAACTATTTGAACAAATAATAAAAGAAAATTTCCCCAATCTGGCAAAGGAAATAGACTTCCAAGAAATCCAAGAAGCCCAGAGAGTACCAAAAAAGTTGGATTCAAGAAGAAACACACCAAGGCATATCATAATTACATTAGCCAAAATTAAAATGAAAGAAAGAATCCTGGAAGCAGCAAGAGGTAAGGGGACAATCACCTACAAAGGAGTCCCCATCAGGCTGTCAGCAGATTTCTCAAAAGAGACCTTACAGGCAAGAAGGGGCTGGAAAGAAATATTCCAAGTCATGAAATCTAAAGACCTACAACCAAGATTGCTCTACCCAGCAAAACTTTCATTTAGAACGGAAGGACAGATAAGGTGCTTCTCAGATAAGACCAAATTCAAAGAGTTCATCATCACCAAGCCCTTATTATATGAAATGTTAAAGGGACTTATCTAAGAAAAAGAAGTTAAAGAAACATGAACAGTGAAAGGACAACAAACTCACAGTTATTAACAACCACACCTAAAACGAAAGCAAACTAAAAGGACAGCTAGATCAGGAGTGGAAACATAGAAATGAAGATCTCAAGGAGGGTTAGCAACAGGGGAGTGGGAGGAGGAGACGGGGGGAGAAGGTACAGAAAACAAGTAGCATAGACAGTAGATAGAAAATAGATGGGGGGGGCAAGAATAGTATGGGAAATATAGAACCTAAAGGACTTGAGACACATGGACATAAACTAAAGGGGGGTAATGGTGGGGTTGGGGGGCAGGGTGGAGGGGAATGAAGGGGGGAATAGAACAACTGTAACAGCATAATCAATTCAAAAAATAAATAAATAAATTTATAAAAAAAAAACTATAGTAAAATAGAAAACCCACAGAAACTAGAAGTATATAAATCATAATTATAAGAGCAGAAATTGATTACAACAGAAACCAAAGAAATAATGAAATAAATAAACCAAAACTGGTTCTCTGAAAATGCCAATAAAATGGGCAAATTTTCAGGCAAGGCTGACCCAAAAAGAAAAAAATATCAATAATATAAAGAATGAAGACAAAAAGATAACTACAGAAGCAGAAGAGGTTTTTTAAACATATTTTAAGTGTTTATAGTAATAAATTTGAAAATTTACATAAAATGTACAATTTCCCAGAAATATATAATTCACTCAAACAGATTCAAGAAACAATAAAAATCCTGAATATTCTACTAAAGAAGATTTGTTTAATTCCTAACCCCCAGTGCCTTAGAATGTGACCTTATTTGGAAAATTGGTCTCTGCAGATATAATTTCTTAAGATGAGGTCATACAGGAGTAGGGTGAGACCCTAACCCAATATGACTAGTGTCTTACAAGAAAATGGCCAACTGAAGACACAGAGACATAGAGGGAGAAGCCCACAATAAGATGGGGGCAGAGACTGGAAAGGCGCAGTATAAGTCAAGGAAAAGAAGGATCTTCAGCCATCACCAGAAGCTAGGAGAGAGGCCTGAAGAAATTTTACCTTAGAGCCTCCAGAAGAAACCAACCTCGCTGACGTCTCGATTTTGGACTTCTGGCTTCCACAAATATCAGAGAATAAATTCCTGTATTTTCAAATTTCCCAGTTTATAGCACTTTGTTATGGAAGTCCTAGGAAACAAATATAACCAATAACCACTAGAGTGATTGAAATGGTAGTTTAAAATCTGCATGTGCACATGCACACACATACACACACAGAATGATCCATTTCAGCCTCCTCATCACATGGACAAGTAAACTGATGCCCTGTGAGGCTTCTTGAACAGATTCTGTAGCAGGTTGGAGGTAGTGATGGGTTGGGTAGTAATGGGTGGGATGGGAATCCAGAGTAAGTAGATAGATCCCAAGCACTCTAGTGACAACCCCACACTTTAAATTAGGACAATCAGCACCTGTGCACTTTTCATGGCCATGTCTTTTCTTCCCAGGTACCTCAAGGTGATGTAAAATTAATTCTCTACTCCAATGAGAGTATCTTCCAAATTCTCTTTCCTGATGGATCAGGCCAGATACAGTATCCACTGGAGCACATATGGCACCTAAAAAGTCTGTGATTCAGGGCTGGGGCATGGGTTTTACTAAGGCCTGTACACTTGGCAGGGCTGTGCTTTTTCAAGGGGACCCCAAAGGACTGCTTGTGCCTTAACCATCTCCCAGTTATCCATCAGGAAACCTGGCTATGCTCATCCTCAGTACAAAAGAGAGCAAGTTCACATATATCATTCTGGAAGACAGTGAAGAAATGTGTGTTCAGGCCCTTATCAATAACTCTGGCCATGCCACCTTCTATGATGAAAACAGAGAAATCTGGTAAGCTTGAGCCATGAGTCCCAAACACTTTTCCCCATGGAGAAGCAGAAACAGTATGGTTAAAGCTTGATTCTCTTTCTCTCTCTCTCTCTCTCTCTCTCTCTCTCCATTTGTGAATTCATTCAGCTGACTCACACATATTGGAATGCAGACATGGGTATCATGATGGACCAGTAAGACAGATCCCTAACCTCAGACAAGGAGCACTAACACTGTCCTCGTCCCACTAATGCTTTCCCCATGGTGAAACAGCAAATACAGACTCAGTGCAACCACTTCTATTGGCTTCATTTCCTCTACATCTCTTGAGAGTCAAACCTTATGAGAATTATCCTAGAAACAGGATAATTCTCTGTCCTGGAGGCCTCAGAGAGGAAGGTGTGGTGAGCACTCTGGAGGCACATGTATTGTATTCAAAACTATAACTGCTAAATATTTCATTGTAACTGAATTTAGTTCTTAAGTTCCCATTTCTAGTAATGGTGGAAAACTTCATCTTACCAATTTAAGGTAATTCAGCCACTTCAGAATTTTTCCCCATCTCTTTGAGGTAAGTACTCTATCTCTCCAGGATTCCCTGCTCCCCTTGCATTCCAGGAGGATCTATGATGGGAAGTGCATGTTATCTTGCATCAATGTATATTTTCTTTCTTACTGTCAAAGACAAACTTTTTTCTTTTTAAGTTAAAGAAAGGGGAATTTTCAATTTTCACTCTCCAGGCCTTGATTTTTAAGAATATTTTATCTGTTATGGGTTTTTTCAACACCTTTTCCTACCTGACTACTTTGTTTTCAGTGATGTCTGCCCTCTCCAGAGGGCCCTTTATATAAAAACTGATGTCTGAAAGTTTTTGGAAACTGGTGAGAAAAGGTACTGATACAAGAAGTACAAGTAGTAAGGGCAAGAAACTCAGTCAATTATCCCAAATGGCGTCTGACTACATATAAGTGGGCCTCTTCTCCTTAATGACACATTTTTAGGGCCAAAAGAGACCTTGGGGAAGTCTACTTTCCCTTTCTTGATGGAAATACTGAGGCTCAGAGAAACCAATAGGTATTTGCCCTGAACCACACATAAAATTACTGGCAAGAAGTTTTATACATTTTGACTCAGCCTAAAATTAAACATTTTTTTAAATTATCAAATAAGGTTCATAAGAGAAACCACATCTTATCCCTGAATCTCAGCTCATCAAAACCCAAGGGGGCCCTCGCTGATGTGGCTCAGTGAAGCACCAGCCTGTGAATCAAAGGGTCACTAGTTTGATTTCCAGTCAGGGTACATGCCTGGGTTGTGGGTGGGGTCCCCAGTAAGGGGCGCAACCGGCAACCACACTATTGATGTTTCTCTCCCTCTCTTTCTCTCTCCCATTCCCTCTGTCTAAAAATAAATAAATAAAATCTTTTAAAAAACCCAATTGGAAGAATCGTGCTTAAAATTGAAGAAAGGCTGACATGCCCTCCCACCACCACATACACATACTCCACATTGATTCTGTCAGGATGGCATGGGGCTGGAGGTCTTTACCAGGTCAGCTGGTCTGGGACCCAGGCCAGTATGTCCTCCACTGGGCCTTCAAGGCTTCAGAAAGCAGCCAAGGCCCATGAATTGGCTGCAATGGCCCACCACTGCCCCTTCTGCCAGTCATGGCTCTCTGGAGGACCATAAGACAAAGACAGGGACCCTGAAGGAAATACTTACATCTTCTCATCAAAATCAATAGAAGCCACCTCTGGTCCTCCCCTCAGGTCAGGAGTTGATGTCTATTGTGCTGACTCCTCAGACTGTTGCTGGGACTCCAACATCTTGAGAAAATGGACCCAAGGTCATGCCCTGAGGGAGAGAAGTGGCCAGTGGTTCAATCTTTCTTCCCCAGAACAGCCTTGCTTCCAGGCACTAGCCTCATAGCCATTTCAGAGTCTAGGAGTCCCGAACTTCTCATCTCCCATCTCTCTCCTTGAGACTTGCTGTCTTCTTGTCTTGAAGTTTTTCTAAAACTGCTAACCACCTCACCATTTATGGGTTCTCAAGAGTGGAAGATACACTGACTGCTTTCCCTTCTAACTCTGAGCTCCTCCTCTGCTGGAGAAAATGGGAAGATGTCAGTGAAAGCTGATCATTTGGGCTCACAGTGGGCCTCGTAAATCTCTGCAAATGTCTGTGCAGCATCCTGCCAATGGAGCCAAGGCCAAGGCCCAGACCCAGGAGACCCCAAGGGGCCTCCACTCTCTCTCAACCTAGCCTGGCCCCTCTGCCCACCCACAGGCAGCCCCTGCCTTTCTCTTCTTGCTCCCTAGCTGCCCCCACAGCAGAACAGCATGCCCTGCCCCCATAGTATCACTGTCATTTTTCTAGTCTTTCCTTTTTGGTGCTGGAGGAGCAGGCAGTAGGGGAAGGGCAAAGTTACCACCCCTCAATCCCCTCAGCAGGTCCAGGACTCTCTGCACACAGCTGGTACACTGCTCACCTCCTCTCAGCAGCCCTTCCACACTCAGCTGTACACAGGTGCTCAACCTTTGTGTCCTCTCTCCCCCAAAAGCAACCGCATCTTATCTGGGTCATACTCTGGTTTGGCTTAACCCAAAGCAAAGCAGCAGGCACTTCAGGTAGAGACCTGGATGAGAGAACTGTCCTTGTATATCCCCCACATATTCGTACCCCCAAAAGGTCTTACTACAGGGCAGAATGGGCCAAGCTGTTTCCTTCCCCAGGGGCAGCAGCAACAAATTAAACTGTGATCCCAGGAAAAGGTCCCTGAGGAAATTCATCATTAGAACCAGAGTCCCACTGATCACAGAGAAAGCAATTTTGTGGAAAAGACTCTTCTGCTTAGTCAGGGACCACTGACTCTAATCACTGTTAGAAATTTCTATAACTGCTCCCCAGATTCCATCCCCATCTCCACACCCTCAGTGCTAATGCTCAAAGAGAGATCCTCCACTGTACCCCAGGCACTGGGAAGGATTTAGAGCCATGCTGTTTTAAGAACTAAATATTTCTTGGGTCATTTTTCATTTCTGTCTCCTCGAGGAAAGGTAGACAGCATACTTGTAGTTTGCTGGGTGTACAGAAACTAAACCCCAGCAGCACCCCCGACCTCCAGGCTTGGGTCTTGAGGAATCTCAGATCAGACCTCCCACCAGGCTTCAGGGTCCACACAGCGAGGGGCCCCGGTCCTGCCTGAACTCAGGCTCCTTTGGAGAGGTTTTTACACCCTCTGAGAGGAACCTCCAGATTCAGATACCTCTCAGTGTTCTAGATCCCATTTTCCTGAGGAAACCTTAACCTACGACTGGGTGCCCCCAGTCAGGGGCAGACCTCTAACCCCAGGGAGTGGGGAAGGCTTAGTGAGAAAACTCTGATAGGAACCATCAAAAAGAGTTAGAGCTGAAGGATCTGCTCCCCCACAGGGAGAAACAAAATTCCCTCTCTGCCCTCTCCATCAATGATAATAAGAGCATTGTAATGTTGACAAAATTATTGCTATGTATAAGCATATAATCCTCACAACAACCCTGTGAGTAAAGTACTATTATTATCTGCATTTGGCAGTTGAACACTGAGGCATAAAGAAGTTAAATATCTGGCCCAAGATTACACAGCTTGCAAGTGGCAGATCCAGGCTTTGAACCTAGAGACTCTGGCTCCAGCACCCACATTTTTAATTCCTCACAGGCATACAGCCTCTTGTCTAAGTAAAGAGAAATGAGCTTGGCCAGGTCAGGGCCTGATGGTGAGGGCTTTAGGTCTTCTGCACTTTCCTTGATGAACGATGGGAAGCAACAGGAGAAACTAAGATTGGGAGTGACTAGGAGTTCTCCTGTTGGAGGTAAACGAGGATGCACTTAGCTTGTCTCCTTCTCTGAGCTGACCCACAAAGGCCCTGGACAGCCCAGAGGAGACCTGACAGGTAGTCTGAGTAATGCAGGCTCCCCCAAACCCTACATCCTTCTGATTAACCCAGGTCTCAGATCTCTTCCCTCTGCATCCAGTCCTCGAGAAAAGTTGCTCCCCCAACAGCACAGATTCTAGAGACAGCCCTGGTGGGATTCAAAAAGCAGAAGCCAGGGACAGAGGGCTATGATAGGTTTAAAAGGCCAAGAAAGGATGGCTCATAAATGAGTAGGGCCTGGGCTGGGTGACGGAGAAGGCCATCCACTCCTCATTCATCCAGCACCTACTCATGTGGGTGCCAGGCACAGTGCTGGGAACTCATCAGGCAACCAGATGGTGTGTGGCCCTTGCCCTCCAGGACCACGTTTTACATTTACATTTTACTAAGGAAAAACAGATGATATAAACAAGTACAGTTGATTCTCATTACTCAAGATAGTTCTGTGCTATAAAGTTTCCATGAACACTGAATTAGTGAACACTGAACTCACTGCTCCTGGGGGAAGTGCATGTGTGTGTGTTTCAACAAAGAGTCACAAACATGAGCAGGGGGTGAAAACTGGAGGCATCTGGTGCACACATTTCCAGCTGAGGCTGAACAAGTTGACTCTGCCTCCCAGAGGGTGGAGCCAGGAGGGCAGGGCACTGGAGCACAGGCAGCCTCAGCTCTGGGGCCAGGTAGACTCTACCAGGATGGGTTTGCTTTTAGATTTAAGATTATCTATGTGAGATATATATATAAAATTTCTCCTAGGAACAATGGGTTCGGTATTCGCTAAGCACTCAAGACCTGCTATAGACCCTAACTACATACTGCAAATAACAAGAATCAACTGTATGTGTTAGTAAATTACATGGAGGAAACTAACAAGGGGCAAAGGTGGAGAGTGATATAGGGACCAGAGGGGCTGGTCAGGACAGGACAACTCTGAGTAGGTGATACTGGAGCTGAGGCCTGAAGGATAAGCAGGAGCCAATCATGCCACCAAAGTGGGGAGGGTCCGAGGAAGCAACATGGCAAAGCCCTGAGAAGGTGATGAGCACACAAGCCCCTGGGACTGAAAGGAGAGTGGGAGCGAGGGGCCGGGTACAAGTCCCAGAGGGCAGGGCTGAAGAGCTGCACCTAATCTTGGGCTTCCTTCCTGAGCAGAATTTCTTCAACCTGCCAAGACCTGTGGGAGCCTGTAGCCTGTTTGTGGGCAAAGATTGAAACAAGGGAAAGAGAGTGAGGGAGGGAGCCTGTGTTGCCACAGGAGAGGCTGTGACGGTTGTCTCAGAACCAAGTGTTCCAATTACCTGATGGGACTTCTTAATCTAGGTTGAACCTGAGCCAAAACCTGGGCTACTACTTTGCCAAAGGCAAACCACAGAAGGCCTGGAACTGGTGGAATCTGAATCTCCATGTCCACGCACCCCCTGTCCAGTCTATCTCCTTAAATATCAACCAGTACATCAAGGTACAAATCAGGAGCCAAGATAAGATCATCTTCCACTTCATCCACCAAACAAAGCACATTCGCTTAAACCTGGGCACCAAGTACAAGGTAAGATCTCAGCACCCCACACCTCTGCCCACCTGCACGCAGGCCACTGATGCTTGGACTGGTCCAAGCCATAAGCCCCTGGGCCATGTTCTGCATGACTCCAATTCACAGAAAACAAGGCTGCCTCCATTAACCTGCTGCTTAATGCACACAGAGGTATCCATCTCACTTCCCAACACCATGACACTTTGCTCTGAGACACCATAACACTTTGCTCTAAGGAAACTGACAGACTCAAATTGCTTAGCCATAAGCCAGATCTCACTCACCCCCCAAAAAAAGGTAACATGCAATATCTTGCCTGACACTCACAATTGTGTCAAAGGCAGGGCCGGAAACAAAGGGGAAATCTGTGTCCTCAACCCTGCTGTTGATGTCCTCTTCTGTCCTCCCCAAACTTGCTCATCTCAAAACAAATGACCACCTGGAAATTCAAGATCCTTTGCCTAGGCCAGGTAAGACATCACAAAAGACTGTTAGTTTCCTCAGGCCGCTGTAACAAATTATCACAAACTAGGGGCTTAAAACAACAGAAATTTATTCTCTCACAGTTCTGGAGGCTAGAAGTTTAAAATCAAAGTGTCAGCAAGGCCACACTCCTTCTCAAGGCTCCCAGGGAGAGTCCTTCCTTGTCTCTCCCAGCTTCTGGTGGCTCTAGGCATTCCTCAGCCAGCAGAAACCTCACTCCAACCTCTGCCCTTGTCCTCACATGGTCTTCTCCTCTGAGACTCTGTGTATCAAATCTCCCTCCCCTTTCTCTTATAAGGACACCGGACATTGATTGGGTTTAGGGCCTACCCTAAGTCTTTATATAAGATTCTTAATACATCTGCATAAAGTATATTTCCAAATATGGTTACATTCACAGGTTACTGGGTATTAGGACTTGGACATGTCTTTTGGGGGCCACAATTCAGCCCGCTACAAATAGTGATCCCAGTCCGTAGAATGTTCACTGTGAGAGGGCAAGAAGATGGGCTACTGAGACCCTTCCTGAGGACCAGACTGAAGGAGAGGAATAAGGCAAACCCCAGAAGGCCCAGAACTGCTGGGATCTGAACCTCTATGTCCATACACCTCTTGTCCAGTCTATCTTCTTAGCCACCCACTGAGATCCACTAAGACCCTGTCCTTGGGCCAGCTCCCCTCCACTATTCCACAGAAGGCTGTTCACAGACCCACCAGAGAGGCATTCAAGGCCCCCAAAGGCAGCACTTCCTGGGAGGCAGACGAATGGACATGTCTCTCAGGAAGTGAGCCAGACAGAGAAGTGGGTGGAGAGAGGAAAGAGGCAAACCGCAGACTCAAGCAAAATTAAGCTCTATGAATATTATTTGAAATGAGAAGAGGGAATGTGGTAGGCATAGGGTGACCAGCCAACCCAGTTTTCCTGGGACTGAGAGGTTTTCTAGGACATGAGACTGTGAAAGCTAAAACTGACAGTTCCAAGCAGATCCAGAGAACTGGTCACCCTAGGTTCCCTCACCTGGGAAGGCCTGCTATTTTACAAGCTAAATAATTAAGTCTCAACCTTCTTACTTTCCTTGGGTTTCCCAGAGCAGCCAACCCAGGAAAGAGATGACAAATGAATACTCATAGTCTACACCAACTTTTCCCTTTGCCCCTGCACAGTGGTGACTAGCTAAGAGGGGGCGGCTGGAGTGGAGACAGCATGATGACCTGGGCCACTGGACTTCAAAAAACAGTGTGATTCCACTGAAGGAGAAGGGGCAGCAAAGGAAATTGATGCTCAAAAGGGGGATGAATGACTGACATGGTCAGTCTGGTGCCAGTGAAGGGTGGGCCCCAAATGAAACAAATGTGACTTATCAGCAGGGGCCACCCAGGTGTGGTAGTAGGGTGCCCTGAGAACATGCCAGCCCCTCCTCTTCCTGTGTGACACCAGGCAGGCCTTTTGCTCTTTCTGAGCCTGTTGCCATTTATAAAATGAAAACATTGCTGTAAGGCTTCAATAAAATGCTTTATGTGAAAGCATTTTTTAAACTGGATACTTCATGGAAATAGAACATATTGGTATGATCCTTTATAATTCCTCCCAACTCCAGGACAACTTTTGCTCAGCCTTCTGTAGCTAAAAGCTAAGGCAGAACTGGAGTAGAGGTGGCCTCACCGGGTGCTGCTTCATCTCAGCGCAACCCAGACACACTCCAAGGGAGCCCAAGTGGAAGTAGAGCTCACTTGCTGACACTTCAGACAGTCTCCTGGCTCTGGCAGTGCCTGCGTGATAGGGAATCCATGTGGAGAAGCCAGATGCCCCCAGGAAGGCACAATCTTTGGAAGGCAGGTCACAGCAGGGCTCAGGAGCTGCTACTCTTCAGTCTGGCTTCAGGCTGGGGTGTGCCCACTGGCACAGGCTCAGCGAGGACGCTTGGGAAGTGGCAGAAGGGTTGCTGGTGGCAGGGCTGGGTGCACAGATTTATCCTGAAGAGTGAGGTTCCCAGGTAAGACTAAGTTCTGGCCAGGGGGCCCTAATTTTGGGGTGAGGGGGAGCGTGGTGCTGGTGCATACATCCTCACCTAGCCTTCCATGAATTCCTACAGCTCATACTCCCAGAGATACTGAGTGAAATGAAGAAGAAAGCAATCCTGGAGGTGGAATTCAGTTCAACAGCTCACAAAATCCAGATCCTTCTGGGGAAAATGAACAGGATCCTGAATTTCCTCACTATCTGTGATTTGGAAAACTTCTTAGAGGGCACCAAGATCTTACCAAATGATGAATTCCCAACCTTCTTACCTACCTTGGATCTGTTGGACAACATGGGTCTGAAGGGAACATCCTCCATCCTAGACTAAGGCAGTCGCCACACTGTCCCAGGACTCCTCCAGCACCTGTTGGGTGTCGCTGGGAGGTGAAGCCATCAGGAGTGCCAAGAAGACCCAAAGTCTCGTTTATGTCTTTTGAGAATTGTTTTGTAATTTGGGGCCTGTCATGCATAGCAACCTGGTTTGAAAAAGAAAAGTCTTTTGAGGTTCTGACAGAATCTGTGGCTGGGAACAGAAAAGACTTAATATTCAGCCCAGACCTGACAGCATTAGCAGCGAATTATTTCAGTAGGCAATATATGTCCACACCTGTCCTGCTTGCTTCTACTGGCCCTGGAATACACACCAGTATTTTTGTGACCTTTCTGTACTTGGGATGACTTAGGACACAGGCTGTTTCAAAGTCTAGCTCTGCTGAGTGAGTGAACCTTGAGCAAGTAGCTTTATGCCTCAGTTTCCTTGTCTGTAAAATGGACTTAGAAATAGTAGCTCTCACTAACCCTGACCTCATCACGACTCCCTCCTCTCCCCACAACCAGGGAAGAGGGAAACCTAGACAGCAAACCAACACCAGCCTGCAGCAGATCCCCCAAATCAGGAGGCAACTGAAGCCGAAAAGGACCCACAGTAACCCCCCTCCAAGAGTTGAAACCATTTTGATCACTGGTAATAGCCACCAACTCAAGTAGGTAAAACAAAATGAGAACTGTGTAATCTGGATTTTATATACAATGGGTCTCAGAAAGGACTGGAGTATGGAAGGGCCTCCAGAAGCCAGGATACTTTCATTCCTGTCTCTGTGACACTCTCATCTTTTCCTGGAGACATGTTTTCCACACACCTCATTGCACAGACTTTTTCTCCTAATCTCTCTCAAAACACCTCAGTGGTCTCTGATTGGCCTGGCTGATCAGGTACAATGCAGTATGTTAAGGGAGGGTGGGGTTATGTCTTATAAACGTAGCTCCTAGTTGGCATCTGAGCATGGGGAGGGGTGGTGGTTTCTAGAAAAGGGGAGCTCAGGAGCTGGGCAGTATGCCTTTTCAGTCCCTTGGACACAGCAAATTTCCCAGGGTGATCTCAACTGCAGCCTAAACCACAACAGGAAATCCCTTCTCGAAATTAGTCCTTCCCTGCTGTGAACTGTTAACATCCAAGCCCACCTTCCTGGCCCTGCTCTCCTGCTGACCTCAAAATGCCTGCCTCCAGTGCTTTGACATCATCCCAAACCATGAGGCTGAGCAGCTGAGGTGGGACTAGGGCAGTAAGGCCCAACAGGGTGTTACACAGTCACTTCTACTATCTGATTCTCACACCTTGTTGGTGAGTAGTATCATCAGCTAAAAGTGCAGATTAAAATTGATAAACAGCCCAACTTAGTTCATTTTCATTTCTAGGAGAAGCACCTTTTCCTGCCAAGTCACTAAAGTAAATGGGACAAATGACCACGGGAGAAGTGTACTTGTACAGGCTGACCTCAGCATTAGGTTTCCTTGTTTGCTCTGCCTCTCTGCTCATTATGCACAGAAGCCTCTTCCCTTACCAGGCACTAGAGACAAAGCTCCTGAGCCGCACTTGGCAATAAACAAATCCTTCCATGCTAGCAGCCTTGTCTCAGAGCCAGGCCGGATGCTTCTCCCAGCACTGAAGGCCACGGGGCTGAAGGTGTATGTGCCCTGGAATCAGAAAGTGCTGGGTTGGAGTCTTGACACAACTGTTTGCTAGCTGTGGCAAGGCAGTAAGCCTATGACTCAGTTTCCTTATCTGTAACAGGATGTGTTATGGTGAAGGTTAAAGGAGCTGGCATTGGTAAAGCCCACAGCATGGTACAAATGGGTGTGGGTTCTTACTATTATCAGCCAGTGCCTCTTCTTGGTCTTCCTCCTTTCACAACATCTGAAAACCTGATTCCATTAATACAGAGGTTGTACACAGGTAGCTCAGAGGCATTTTGTTTGGTCAGCCCTGTTTTAAAATGTTTTGTTGCCAACATTTAATAGATGGGAGATTTGCAACTTCTCTTGTAACTGCTGCTCTGTGCCAGTTATCAAAGCCTGGACAGAATACCATGAACTCAGGGGCTATTTTTATAAGGAAGAGTGAACCACCTCACAGACTATGAAGGAAATGATTCACACAGCCAAACAGATGGTCGGGACCTATACAAATCCAGGTCCCACCCTCTGTATCAGTTTGTTTGGGCTTCTGTCACAAAGGACCACACACTGAGCAGCTTAAACAAGAGAAACTTACTCACGGTCTAGAAGCTAGAAGTCCAAAATCAAGGGTTTCCCTCTAAGATGCTAGGGATGGCCCCTGTCCCAGCTTCTGGTGGTCCCTTGGCTTCCAGGCTTCACATGGAATTCTCCCTGTGGGTGTGAGTGCCTGTGTCTAATTTTCACTAGTCATATAGATACCAGTCTTAATGGATCAGGGCCCACCCTACTCCAGTGCGGCCTTGTCTTCACTAGTAATTCCATCTGCAACAATCCTAATCCAAATAAGGTCACAATCTGTGGTACTGGGGATGGGACTTCAACATGTGAATTTAGAGACACAATTCAACCCTTAATACCTTGTCTATTTCACACCCCAGCCCCTCCCAGGCCCTCACCTTTCTGAGGGGACAAAACCTCTCACTCATTATCATTTATCTTCAGTGACTGGCAGGAAAATGTGCTTCTCCTAGAAATGAAAAGGAATTAAGTTAAACTGTTTATCAATACTGATCTGTTCAGTTACACACCTGGGTAACTTTACCAGTGAATGCCCCAAGGCAAATGGAGTTTTGTCCAGTGCCTACATAAATTAATTACTAATGAATTTAGTAATGAATTGTGCCATGCAATAAATATACACTCTGTGCCTACCATATCCTGAAGAGAACACATTGCCTGCCCTCAGGGGCATTAACGGCTGCGGATAAGATATAAGCCAGGAGCAAAACAATGTAAGTGTTGGTTTGTGAAGGAACACAGTGGAAGGAGAAGAGTCCCTAGGGGGAGAAGAGAGGGGTCACAACAGAAAGCCTCTCTGAGGGGGTACTCTTTGAGCAAGAGCTGAAGAATGAAATGGAGAGGGGGGTAGGGTATTCTGGGAGTCAGAAGGAAAGGCAAGAGTCTGTGCAGAACACAGAGAGAGTGAGCACCTAAGACAGACATAAAAGTTATGGCCTTTGGAGACATGTAGGAGAGTATCTTCTTCTAGCTGCACAACCCCCAGCCCCTTTCCTTTGTGGAGGAAATCACCCTTGTGAGTATTTACTAGAGGGCAGCAGTGCCCTACTTGCCACGACAGAAACTGAAAGACATCACTAAAAACATATCAGTAAAGGGCCAGTCAGAACCAAGAAACCACACAAGTCATTTCAAAATGTAACAAAATTTAGCAAGATAATACTAAAAGAGAACTAAAAAGAACTCTAGAAAATCAAGAACTGCAAATGAAAGGCACAGTTTTTTTCCTCCCTCCTGCCCTCGGCCCTCCCTGTTTCCTCTCCTCTCTTCAGAATACACCCAAGAAGGGAACTAAGAACTTGAAAGTGCTAAGATCCCACCTTGCTGGGCAGAGGTGACTGCCGCCTGCTGTCTGGTGGGGAGGTTCACTGGAATGCCAGGAAGCTGGAGCCAGCCAGCTGGTGCACAGTACGTGGCCACTAGGTCACAGCAGCCAGTTCACAAACAGCTTTCTGCTGGGATGCCAGGAAAAGTCACTGGACCCACCAGTTCTCCCATGCTTTGCCAATGGTCAAAATGTGGAAGGAAAAATGGACACAACAGAAAGAGACACCCTCCCTCTATGCCTTGCAGTGTTCCTCCAGCACCCAACAAAGCCTAATATTGCACCAGCTGCCAGAGGCGATGTGTTTTCAGGGCCCAGCTCCGGAATCTCAATGTAGGGCCCCAAAAAAGTGGATTTGGAGCACATAGGCGATAAACCAGTAGCCAGCACAGAGATCGTCCTCCTCGCTCCAGCACTATATTAAGGCATGGAAAATCACACACACACACACACACACACACACACACACACACACACACACGCTTCATGGGGAGCCTGGCCAAGGTGAAAGCTGTTGAGTGATACACAGCCAGTCCAGGACTCTACCACAGCAGTGGAGGCTGAACCAACTCTTTCTGCTTCGAAAAAACAATGCATCTGTGATGCTTCCTGTTCTTATACCTCTGCTCCTCCAGCCTGTCTGTTCCCCAGGCCCGCATTTCCTTCCCATAAAGCCATTCCTGCTCCCATTAGACAATGATGTCTTCTGTTGCTTGTTCTCAAGGACCCTGATAGACGCAGAAGATGACTAGTGAGGGTTTGGGCAGGAGTTGATTGTGACGGCCACATGTACCACAGGAGTTAAAGTTTTATATTCTGAAACCAAGAGGAGGGAGAGTGTTAAACAGACTGGGCTCTTATAGTAAAGATATTTCAATATTCCAAACAAGGATATTGAAAACAAGGGCCTTGACTCAGGGAAGGGCACTGGAAATACAGAGAAGGGGAGGAAATAAAGAACTATGTAAGATAGGAAATAGGTAGGACTGGGTAGCACTAGGACAGGGTAGGGAAGACTACATGACTTGGGCAACAGAGTGGATTCTTTCATTCATTCAGCAAAAGCTAAGTACCTACTGCAGGCACTGTTCTAGGCGCTAGATATTCGGCAACAAACAAAGCAAAGGTCCTGCCATGCCCTTAAAGTCTGGGTTGGGGGAAGAAAAAAAAAACATATAAGCAAAATATCTCGTGTTGCACAAAGACAAGTAAGCCACGTGAGGGGAATAAAAATTGCTGGGGATTGGGGGTCCCTAAAGTATACATACAGCAGGTTTTGTAGTAGAAAATTATTTGTTGTGGGAGACTGTCCTGTGAATTGTAAGATATTTAGCAGTTCTGGTTGACTTCTACCAACTAGGAGCCAGTAATACCCACAAACAGACTAGTCATAACAACCAAATATATCTTTAGATGTTACCTTGTCCCGTAGTGGGGAGAAAGGGAAGGTCATTCCATGCTGAGAACTA